TTAAGGGTGTTAAATCCAATTGAGATTAGGAAATGTGCCTCGTCTGTAAATGCATGTAACGGGTTGTGTTGGAATTGAAAATCCTTGAGTGACTAGTTATGACAACTCAAATCCAAGTGGATTAATGTTGGTTCTGTTGGATTTTACCTTGATTACTAACAATATACGTTTTTATTCACTAGTGGTGGAGCAGAATTCAAATTATGTTCCGTTTTGAATTTTGAAAAGAAAGCACTAGATTGAAAGCTAGTTGGTATTGTATAATTTATTTCAGCTTATTTGTTATTTAATTTTATGTACACGGTTAAACAAAATTTTGGTAAAGAAATCTTAAAAGAAACCTCTAATTATGATAATAATATGTTACTATTGTTTACATGCCTATATGGTATGTAATTTGTCACTCCAAACAATTAAATATGCTACTAAAGTTGTTCTTTCTCTATTCTTGAGAATTCTACCACTACCAAATATGGTTGGTTCTTTGAATTTGTTATGATTCTTCCAGTCAATGAAAATAGAATGCTCGTACGGTCCAAATTCGATGTTAACTTAACTGGCATGAACTTTCCTTAAATATCTATTTGTACTTATCTTCTAAACATTAAAAAGAACATTAAAAAGATGTATCAACTTCGAGTCCTTGTTCTCAATGCCCAAAAGAATAAAAACTCCCAAATTTCAAAATGAGGTTAAATATAGATAACTATCTAACTTTTTGGGTGGTTCTAAATTAGTCTTAATCTTTTAAAATATTATTAATAACTACCTAACATTTAAAAAACTAGACATCCGTTAGATCATCGACGGTAAGTGATGACTTTGCCAACATTTTTTTGAAGAAAGTACAATATTCATTAATACGAAAAACATGTACAAAGAGAGGATATGTAACACCCATGATTTTGTTTCAAGCACTTTTGAGCTTCTCTCTCCTCTCTCAACTTTTACTCTTTTTTTTGCTTGTTTAATTTCGTAATTATAAAATGGCATACAAACATGCTAATTCGCATTAGCAGCGGTTAATTGCTACAAAATACAAAATCAATTCTGTAATCAGGTTTGGTATTGCTATGATTTATGAAAATAAAAGGATTTGAAGTTGCTGGTCAATCAACACATTGAACCCAATCTGTACGAAATCCATTGGAAATAATTAAAGGTTTTGAAGCATGCCATAATTCACATTTGGAGTAACTAATTAGGCTATCCCATAATTTTGGAATTTAAGCTGTTGGGCAAGAATTGTCAGGTGACCTTGTGAAGGCCGGAAAATGGCTGGGAGGAAGCCTCTTGCTCGTCGAGTTTGGGACCCTTTTTGCCCATCATATGTTTGACGAAATGCCTAAATGAAACTTAGGCATACCCCCGACCCCGAAATATTTATTTTCAGGAATAAATTTGTGGGTAGGCCCAAAATATTTAATGTAGTTTAGTTAACTATCCACAATTACAATCTCTACTTAAGTTTCACTAATGCTCCATAATTATAATTCCATACCAAATGTACGACATTATCTTCATATTTTAGCGTCATTTCCCTTTATAAACCAATTTCCATTTTAGCAACCTTTAATCTCGAATTTATTTAACCTCACATATTTTATGGCTGCATCTAACGTCTCGTTAGACTACCTACGTACCCATCGAAGGGATCAAGCCAATCGTAGTTCACATTTCAATTTCATTCAATTTCACATATCACAACCAAATAACCAAAATAACCAACATTGGGTCAAATAATCAAAACACATCAATTGGATATCAAATTCATATTTATGATATCAAAATTTGCATAAAATGGCAACGTCGGCCCACTGGCCACTCACCGCCGTGGGTGGCGGTCGGCAGCCCCGACTTGCAGAAAAATTTAACTATTTCTAAAAATTCTAAAAAATTACAGAAATAAAGATATCAAAGAGGAGAACAAACTTTATACCTGTGGCCAAGACCAATTTGGCCAGGAAAGGCACTAATTTGCCTCGATTCAACTCCATAGCAGCTCCGACACCCCCAAACTTGTTTGGGCTTTGTTCCTGGGTTCTAAAGGAGTAGGTTGGTGGTGGTAATTGACGAAACTTGTTTCAAAAATTGTAGATTCGACCGGAAGAACACCTGCACCCACCGGTGTGGTTTCCCCGTTTTCAATGTCAAATTCTCTTGATTTTGGGGTCCAATGGGATGAGGGAACGATGAGGAGTGTTTTCACCGTGGGTAGAGGTCGTGATTAGCCGGAATAATCATCAGAAAACCACTGGAATTAGTTAAGGGAGCCGGGTCAGGTCAGGTCTTGGGTAAAAGGGAATGTTCAGTTCTCCCATCCTTCTCCCTTTTCTCCTTTCTTTCCTTTCCTTTCCCCCTCATTCGTCCGTTCCCCCCACATTTTTCTCTCATTTCTCTCATTTCTAACCCTTTATTTTCATCACAGCCGTCCATCTCATTTTTTCCCTTTAATCCCAGCCACACACGTGGCATGTCACATGGCTCCAGATTTTCTGAAGCCTTCCAAAGAAGGTTAAAATTACCAATTCATCCCTGACTTTAAATATTAATAACTTCTTCATTATAACTCCGTTTCACGAACGGTTTGTGCCTACGCATTCATGAGTTCAAGCCCTGTTCAAAAATATAAATGGTGACCTAAAAAGGACAACGAATTTTAAATAATTAATTTCCAAACTTTAAACCTCGTAAGCAGTTTAATTTAAAATTGAACTCAAATAAATTAATATAAATTCCCGAAAAATAATATAAACTCTCAATACCACGAATACATACATTATAATAATTCCCGGAACAAAACTTTACGATTTTCTCAATTCTATCTTTGGGACCGTACAAATATTTAATTTCTATTTTCTTCACATATTCACAATTATGAATATAAAATTCATATATTTAAATTTTCAGGGTATTACAGGATAGGGTGCTAAAATGGGCCTCAATAAAAACCTTGTCGGGATTTCAACTCAGTCTAAGGGAAAAATAGTGTCCTGCACAAGTAGCTATCCTCACCGTAACGTAAACGGTTAAACTTGATTGTCTTCTAACAAAGCATCTAAAATAAAATATGGGGGAGGTTCAACCCACCTATCTTCACTAGAAACACCCAAACCAGCACAAGCTAGCTTGTGTGCTATGTCGTTAATTATAGGTCCCAATAATGAACAATCATCCTCTAAACAATCCACAGCTGCAAGCCAACACTTGAGCCTCCCTCCAAAACCAAATTTGAAATAGCACTTTGGAATTCCATTAGGAGCTCTGCTGCTCTTCTAGCCGCAAGCAACTCAGCAGCCGCAAGCAACTCAGCATGTACGGGTGAATATAACATGGCAAAAATGCCCAGAAACTGCAACAATAAAACTGCCCACCCAATCACGTATAACCATACCATATCCTCCCTGATGCGACCTTTCATGCCACGCTCCATCAAAATTACACTTCAACCCTCCTGAGCTTGGTTTAGTCCACCGTTGTCGTGTCTGAGCTTTACTTGATGTTTTAGCATTGAATGATGAGGTGGATAAATACTAAAATTAGTCTCTAAATTATCGTATTTGAAGCTCTAATTCCCCAATGTAAGTTTTCTTCACTAACTGGAAGCAAGATTTAAATTATGTTTCTTTTTGAATTTTGAAAAGAAAATACTAGACTGAAAGGAAATTGGCATTCAAAATTTACTTCAGCGGATTCATTGTTTAATTTCATATATCGTTAAACAAAAGTTGGTAAGTAAAAGACCAAATTTCTTTTGTGGTCCTGTAATGACAATGCAAAGAAATCCTTATGCTGAAAAAGTTGCTAACATAGGGTAAACAATATTTTGATTCGTCTGCGGTAGAGTCCATTGGAGAAAGGATTAAAATCTTATGGTAAGTTTCGTTAGCAATTGAGATCCAAACCTAAACTTTGTTAGTCTTCCGTTAAAACAAAGTATATAAGGGAGGTGCATTCAATTGAGAATTTGAGATACTTGAATGTATTTATAAATCCATGGGTTTTTGTGGAGTTTAATTGATTTGAAGAGATTTCATATAAAATTTTGATTCAATTTCATCGAAATCTCATAAGGAGAGGTGAGGCTTGTGGATGCTTAAAATACACTACGAAATCTCTCAAATTCCCTATAATTCCTCAACTTTATCAAATTCTTTAAAATCAATTTCTAATTGAATACACCTAGAAAGTTATAAACTTCTTTAAAATCCTAATTGAATACACCTGGATTTCTAAAGATTTTAATAAACTATCTTAAAATTCTAATTGAATACACCTTGAATTTCAGAGAATCACTTAAAATCCTGATTCACGACCCCTAGTTTCATTAAAAAAATTAAAATATCTTAAAATCTCAATTGAATACACCCCATAAATCTCACATGTGCGGTTAAAATCGACCTTTTAATTAAATTAAAGATGGCCAGAACAATTGTTAGTTCTAGCTAGATTTAAAGTGAATTTTCATTTTAATAATGAAGGACCACTAAGTCAATTGATTTTTTATATTAAGTACGCTCTTGGGCTCTTGGGCTCTAGGTCTGTTGTCCTCTTTTGTGTCTCCAGTCTCCTTACAAATATTTTGTGAATAACTTGATTGCTGAAAAAAGATTTATTGATCCATCATGTAATATTATCGTTTTTATCTCAAATGAGTTAGTTATGTCAATACAAGGAATAAAAAAAAGGATGCAAATGTGACCAAAAGTTCGTAGCATTTAGGTGGAATGATTTTTGGTAAATACTGACCAGTCGGTAGTGCATAGGTGCCGAAATTTGAGACTTGAGTGTCATGCATGTTTTGCTACATAGTATTAAAGAATAAAAAAAAAGAAAATAATAAAAGTTAAAATCAATTTTAGAGAGATTTCAAAATTTGACTAGATTTTGAAATCTGAAATTACAATTATTAACAAAATAAAATTCCAATTAAAAAAAAAAACAAGAAGAGAAATTGAAATTAAATGTTAAAAATTGAAAACGAAACAATTATCCAGCGACATTGAGTTTGATAACTAGCATAAGTACTACTGAGTTTGCCAAATGGGGGGAAGTGTCCCCTTGAGCATTGACTGACTCCACCCTGAGTAAAACTCATTCTTGATCCGACGGTTGTTTTCCTTTGGCCTTCGACTTCGAGGTAGCTCCATCACTGCATTTCATGGAAAGAAGATCAATTCAAAATAAATTACCAAGGGGCAAAACATTATTTACTTTTATTCGAGGAAGTTTCTTTTATTTTTATTATGAAAATGAATAATTTTTTGTGAGAAGTGGGAGAAAGGTATATGATAGTTCAACTTAAAGAGTGAAATAATTAAAAGGAGAAAATTGTTCAGGAGGAGGGGGGAGCTTAGTCTCACAATGAGTTAGAAATAAGGTGAATTTAAATCACATTATTGCTAGCATATTGTGAAGCTAAATCCAACCTCTCCCTCTTAGAGCAACTCCAGCGGGAGCTCCTGCTCAAGGGACGGGGGAGAAGAAAGGGCCTGAGGGCCTGTCGACTAGCTTCAGCGTGAGCAAGCCCGAGCAGCAGCCAAGGCCCGAGCAAATGGCATGTGAGGAATTGCCAGCTTGAGAGCCCGAGCAGGGGCTGACGTCAGGCTGGCATCAGTCTTTTTAAATTTTTTTTTCTGTCAGGAATCAGGAAGAGGTTGTCGATCAAGGTGGTGGTGCAGGGCAGGAACCCGTAGGTCTGCTTGCAGCGCCGAGAGGGCGTTCTCGAGAGTGAGGTAGGGAGCGAAGGTGTGGGACCAGTGGTGGTGGTGGACTCCATCAGAGATCAGATCGATGACGTTGATTGGTTGAAGTCGGAAATAAGCAGGCGGCTTCCTTGGGCCCGGCCGCAGAGGACCAGGAGGAGGAAGAAGGACACGTCAATGGATTTAGACATGGCGGGAGGCGAGTGGGTTCAGTGCTGCTTTCTCGTTTGAGGAAGAAAACAGGGAGAAATGGGGGAGAAAAAGAGAGTGGGGAGGGAGACTGTCGGCCGAAGAGAAAAAGGAAGACAATGAGGGAGAGGGGAGTGAGAGAGAGGGAAGGAAGAAGAAAACAAAAGTGGTAGAAGTTTCGGGAAGAGATTGGAAAAGATAAATTAATAATATAATATTAATTTGTACAAATTAAATAATATAATATTAATTATAAAAAATAATATTTTATTGCCTATTGCCAGGGGTATTCAAGTGCAAGGGTGGAGATGCAAAAGACAGTTACTGTTCATTAAGGGCAGTTACTGTTTACAGGTGGATTGAATAGTGGATTGTCTAGGGGGAGGGCTCCAAGGGTGGAGTTGCTCTTAGGGTATATAATATCGTTTGTAAAATAAAAAAATAAAAAAGAGAACAGCTTCTTACATCACATTTACAAACTATTTCATGCGACATAATGATACGGTATGCAAAGTCATCAAGTGCGATTAGGTGAATTTAATTTTTTAACCACCGAATTAAAACACAGTTAATTACCAAAAAAATTAACAACCTACAACACCACTCCACCAATGACCCCAAGTTCCTCGTCAGCCAAAGAACCCTAAGCCTCCGAAGCTCCCCCGACCCACTCTAACCTACCCCATCAGCATCCCCACTCCACCATCGGGCTGGCAACTCCTCCGTCGGCAATTGCCCTCCTCTCTCTCTACCAGATGTTCAAAATCCATCTCACGAAACATCAAGTCCCATTAACAATACCATAATGCACACTCATTTTACAATACTGGAATGCGAGATCGTCGTAACTCTAAGCCTCGCGCTCATAAATCAATAAAAAGCAAATGCAAAATGAGTCCGACAACAACGAAAAGTCATAGGAGGGGTGAGGTGGTTGTTAGTAGAGAGTAAGGTTTATAAAATTAAAATGCTGACATGTAAATATTTTATTATTGGGATAATTAAGTGGATAAAACCAAACGGTCTTGATAAAAAAAAAAAAAAAATTCAATCAATGAAATAAAAGAAAAAGGACGAGAAAAAAACGAAACCCCACTTAATTGCACTAAATGACTTGGCATTTCATCTCATTGTCCACATAAGAGGTTTGTAAATGGAGATCTCTTGTAAGTTTGGTAAAAAAAAGATTTGTCCCTATACTTGTTTTAAAAGAATTTATTATCATTATTTTAAGGAAAAACTAATGAAAAGGGTTTGAAAACTTTGAGTTTTAACGATAAGGACAAAATAAAGAGTAAAGTGAATAGTACCAGAATTGACATTTTAGTGTAAAAATATGGTTTTTCGTTAAAGTGAACAGTACCAGGAATTTTTCGTTAAAATTCCCTTATTTTTAAAGTAAAAGTGATTTGAAGCATGAGATTTTAAAGGACAAAGTTATTCGCAAGCCATGTATACATTCATACACACCAAAGTAGAAATCAAATAATATGACGTTTACCTTATATGCATCCCCGCGCAAGCGTGGGAGTCAAGTAACATATTTTGGATGTTAACCCTAATGCTTTTCAAAAACCAACTCATGGCGCGCTTCTTACAAATTATCTTCGTCTCCCCCATCACTCTCCCGTAACGATCTACCTCATCTCCTTTTTCTCTTCCCCACACCTCCGTTTAAATTAAGAATATAAATAAAAGAAAAGGTACATTATAAATAAAAAAGGGGTGTGATATCCACACACCCCATTTTACTTCTCACACACCTTTTTAATTTTCGGCCGTCGGATCGGATGAATTGAAGAAGATCAACGGGCAGAAATTATTAAGAGGTGTGTGGATAGCACACCCCATAAAAAAGTTAAAAAATTTCAGTACCTGGACTCTCCAGGTCCACTGAAACTTGCTGATTGCATGTGCCCGATGACAAAGGCTTTCTCTTGTGCGTCTTCCAAACTCGACATGTAGATGTACCCTTCTTTGTACTTTTTCATCTCAGCCGTGATCCGAGGGAACTACATTACACAAAATAATTAATAAGAATAAATCAGCTATTTTATTTTAGTCTACATATGTTGTTTTTGTCCGAAAAAGATAGATTAATTGTTGTGCTAGGATAGCACCAAACCACGCGGAACCAAATTAAGCTAACCCACAGAAAATATATCAAATGAAATGCAAGAACAAAATATTAAAGACACCAAGATTTTAACGAGGTTCCTCCACAGTCAGTGTAACTGGAGTACGTCCTCGGAGCAGTAGGAGCTCACCCAATAATCCACTATCAACCAAATGGGAGTTTACAAAGTATTGGCAATCTCACAACCCAAAAGCCCAATACACCCAATAGCTCTCACACACCAAAGATACAAATAGAGAAAGAAATATAATGAATAATTTCTTCTTTATACATATAGCTCAAAGCTATTACAACAACTACTTTGGTGGATGATTACTAACCAATTGAAGAGGAGCACTTTCTTCTTCCCTTCAAAGAGGAGATGCAGCACCCTTTATTTTCTGATGCTCTCTATCTCCCTTTCTTCAAAACCGAAATGGGCTGCTTCTCTTTCTCACACTTACTCCCAAAGGCAACCAACCTCACAATTATGAAGAACCAAAGTCACGGGTGGTAAAAGAGAAAAGCAACCCTTTTTTTCTTCCCCAAAACAAGGAAGTGGTTGTCCACCTTTTTTCTTTATAATTTTTTATAGCCAAAAGTTGGCCACTTGGCCACATACTCCAACAATCTCCACCTTGGCCAAGTTCCGAAAAACGCCATGATAAGCCAACCAACACAATTAACACACAACATCACTCCCAAACACTAGCAAGAGAACAACTCATGCCGAGCCAAATGCTCCAAAACTCCTACTGCTCAACGCCTTCTTTATATAGGCAAAATATGAGCCAAGTTCAAGCAATGAACAAACTTGGCTACACCAACAACCTTAGTCAACATATCAGCGGGGTTGTCTTTAGTTGGAATCTTCTGGAGAATGATTTCCCCTTCACCAACAATTTCACGAACAAAGTGATAACGCACATCTATGTGCTTGGTCCTCGCATGATGAACCTGATACTTAGCCAAATAAATAGCACTTTGACTATCACAATGTACCTCCACCTGCTTCTGATCAACCCCCAAATCTCTAATCAGCCCATGTATCCAAATGGCCTCCTTTATAGCTTCAGCAACTGCCATATATTCAGCCTCTGTAGTAGACAAGGCAACAGACGACCGCAAAATGGACATCCAACAAACTGGTCCTTTAGCCATAGTAAACACATAGCCTGTAGTAGACTTTCTTCCATCTAGATCACCTGCATAATCTGAATCAACATAACCAACTGCAAAATGACCAATACCAGAGTCATCTCTCTCAAAGCATAAACCAACATCTCGAGTACTATGGAGATACCTCAATATCCACTTAGCTGCTTGCCAATGCTCTTTACCTGGATTATGCATATATCGACTCACCATGCCAACTGCATGAGCAATAACCGGTCTAGAGCATACCATTGCATACATCAAACTACCAACCAAATTTGCATATGGTATATTTTTCATTTGCAGCTTCTCTTTATCAGTTTTAGGACACTGTAAAGAACTCAATTTAAAATGAGGAGCCAAAGGGGTACTAACCGGTTTGGTTGAATCATGAACTCCAAATTTCCGAATCAACTTTTCAAGATATTGTCTCTGATTCAAACTGACCAAACCTTTCTCTCTATCTCTAGTGATCTCCATGCCAAGGATCTTCTTCGCTTCACCAATATCCTTCATCTCAAACTCATTCTTCATTTACTTCTTCAATTTTTCAATCTCTTCAACATTCTTTGAGGCAATCAACATATCATCAACATATATCAACAAATAAATGAAAGACTCATCTTGCAACTTCCTGAAGTACACACAATGATCATATTGACTTCTAGAATAATTTTAGCCTCTCATAAATTTATCAAACCTCAAATACCATTGCCTTAGAGATTGCTTCAAGCCATATAGTGATTTCTTCAATTTTCAAAACAAGTTCTCCTTCCCTTTCACTATATACCCATCCGGTTGACACATATAAATCTCTTCATTCAAATCACCATGTAGGAAAGCCGTCTTCACATCAAGTTGCACAAGCTCAAGATCATACTGTGCAACAAGAGCTAACATAATACGAATTGAGGAGTGCTTCACAACTGGAGAAAATATTTCATTGTAGTCAATGCCTTCCTTTTGTGCATACCCTTTAGCAACTAATCTTGCTTTGAATCTCACATTGCTTTTCTCATCAGCATCTTCCTTCTTGGCAAACACCAATTTGCAACCGATAGCTTTCTTGCCCTTAGGCAATTTAGCTAACTCCCAAGTCTTGTTCTTCAAGAGAGAATTCATCTCATCACCCATGGCATTGCACCACCTCTTCTTCTCCTCACTCTCAATGGCTTCCTCGAAATTGGATGGAATATCATCAATGATAATAGGAAGAGCAAAAGCAACATAGTCACTAAACCGAGCTGGCTTGGTAATTTGTCTCTTTCCTCTGTTCTTGGCAATAGACTTTTGAGGTGAAACTTGCTCTTCAACTTGAATAGAATCTTCAAGTTCAACTTCTTCAACATCCTCATGGTCTCCAACTTCTTCACTTGTAGTGGCTTCGACATCAGCGGAAATAGGATTTGAAGTACCAGAGGCAACTTTCTCAAGCTCCACCTGTTGGACATCTTTCACATTCTTCTCAGAGTCTTTGAACATACTTTCTTCATCAAATGTCACATCTCTGCTGATTACAAGTTTTTTCATCTCTGGGCACCACAACCTGTAACCTTTGACACCACTACTAAAACCAAGAAAGATAGCCTTTTTGGCTCTAGGATCAAGTTTATTTTCAGTCACATGAAAATAAGCAGGTGAACCAAAAATACGGATATAGTCATAATCAGAAGAAGAAGAAGGTTTTTCAGTCCATACCTCCATTGGTGTCTTACCCTGAACAGCAGCTGAGGGTAACCGGTTGATGATGTGACATGCATAATTAACTGCCTCTGCCCAAAATGACTTGCTTAAACCCGACTGAGACAACATACATCTAACCTTTTCAAGCAAGGTTCGATTCAATCTTTCTGCAACTCCATTTTGTTGTGGAGTTCCCCGAACACTGAAATGTCTCACAATTCCTTCCTCTTTGCAAACTTTAAAGAAAGGGTCGGATGTGTATTCACCACCATTATCCGATCTCAAAATCTTAATCTTTCTCCCAGTCTGGTTCTCAACCATTTTCTTCCAACTCAAGAAAATGCTCAATACCTCACTCTTGTGCTTCATAGTGTAAACCCAAGACCTTCTTGAATAATCATCAACAAAGGTCACAAACCAATGTCTACCACTCAAAGAGGGAGTCTTTGTAGGACCCCAAACATCTGAATGCACATAATCAAGAATGCCCTTCGTTTGATGTACAGCAGTACCAAACTTCACTCTAGTTTGCTTTCCCAAGACACAATGCTCGCAGAAATCAAGCTTACAGGTCGTGGCACCTTTTAGAAGACCTTGTTTCACAAGCCCTTGTAGAGCTTTCTCACCTGCATGGCCTAATCTCATATGCCACAGTCTAGTAGTATCAGAATCAGATATGCCCATATTTTCTGAGACTACATATGCTTCACCTGTCACAGTGCTTCCTTGCAATAAATACAAATGGCCACATCGAGGAGCTTTCATCACAACAAGTGCACCATAAGTAACTTTCAATGTCTGTCCATCTGAATGAAACCTGAAGCCCTTGGATTCCAAAGTACCCAAAGAAATAAGATTTTTCTTCAAATTCGGTACATACCGAACACCTGTCAACTCTTTAACCATGCCATCATGCAACTTCAACCGAACTGTACCAATCCCTTTTGTTGTGCAAGGATTGTCATCTCCCATGAACACAACTCCACCATCAAACTCTTTCAAGCTTGAAAACCAATCCTTGTGAGGAGTCATATGATGAGTACAACCCGTATCCAACACCCACTTAGTAGCACAATCAAATGATGAGGAAGTGGTTAAAGCAAAATCAGAAAAATCTGTTTCAACCTCAGTAACATTAGCTTCAGAACTTTCTTTGCCTTTGGTCTTCAATTTAGGACAATCTTTCTTCCAATGGCCCTTATTACGACAAAATGCACATTCATCCATTTCCAAAGGTTTTCTACCTTTAGAGTTTCCTCTAGGTCGAGACTGTGATTTTTTCCTACTAGAAGATGATCTTCTCTCTGATGATCTACCTCTAACAAATAAAGCTTCAGAGGTACTATCATGGTTTTTATCTCTATGCCTCATTTCATAATTCATCAAGGCATTTGACACATCTTCAAATTTCACAGTTTCTTTACCATGCATAATAGTGGTAACAAAATGCTCATAAGAGTCCGGCAATGAATTCAACAATATTAAGGCCTTATCTTCATCCTTAATATCCTCATCTAAATTTAACAAGTCGGCAATCAACTTATTAAAAGCATCAAGGTGTCTAATCATTTTTGTACCTTCTTTGTATTGGAAGCGGTATAGCTTTTTCTTCAAGTGTAGCCGGTTCTCTGCACTCTTCGTCATATACTTGTCTTCCAATTTTTGGCACAACACACTTGCTACCGTCTCCCACATCACAAAATACTTCTGAGTTTTTGCAAGGCACAACCGAATTGAAGAGCAAGCCCACAAATTTAATTTCTCCCATTCCGGCTTCGACATAGCTTCCGGCTTCTCTCCCAAAGCGGCAAGTAGATCTTGTTGAGCCAACACATCTTTGACCTCACATTGCCACATCCCGAAATTGTTTGTGCCATCAAACTTTTCCACTTCGAACTTTGCATTTTGTACCGTAGTTCTTGCAAACCCGGAGCTGCTTCCAAAATGATTCTCATCTTACCCGTCTGACATCTTTGGCAACTAGACAGTACCCAAGAGCAACCAGTGCTCTGATACCAATTGTTGTGCTAGGATAGCACCAAACCACGCGGAACCAAATTAAGCTAACCCACAGAAAATATATCAAATGAAATGCAAGAACAAAATATTAAAGACACCAAGATTTTAACGAGGTTCCTCCACAGTCAGTGTAACTGGAGTACGTCCTCGAAGCAGTAGGAGCTCACCCAATAATCCACTATCAACCAAATGAGAGTTTACAAAGTATTGGCAATCTCACAACCCAAAAGCCCAATACACCCAATAGCTCTCACACACCAAAAATACAAATAGAGAAAGAAATATAATGAATAATTTCTTCTCTATACATATAGCTCAAAGCTATTACAACAACTACTTTGGTGGATGATTACTAACCAATTGAAGAGGAGCACTTTCTTCTTCCCTTCAAAGAGGAGATGCAGCACCCTTTATTTTCTGATGCTCTCTATCTCCCTCTCTTCAAAACCGAAATGGGCTGCTTCTCTTTCTCACACTTACTCTCAAAGGCAACCAACCTCACAATTATGAAGAACCAAAGTCACGGGTGGTAAAAGAGAAAAGCAACCCTTTTTTTCTTCCCCAAAACAAGGAAGTGGTTGTCCACCTTTTTTCTTTATAATTTTTTATAGCCAAAAGTTGGCCACTTGGCCACATACTCCAACATTAATTAACAATAATTCAGTAAGAAGATAAGTAGACAACATCAATAAAAATTAAAATCATGGCTTACTTGATCGGGGACGACCGGTGCTTCTTGTGCTGATTGTATTTTGAGCGAATCAAGCTGCTGTTTTAATTCCCTGTAAAATGCTAGATATAGATTTGTCATCTCAAGTTCTTTCTGATAGAAATCTACTTGTTCGCGGAGGAATCTGGTAACACCAAGGCAACCACAGAAGGATTATTCCTCCATATATTCCCTTCAAAGAGTATAGTCTCAGCCGCTGCTGGTCTTTGATCCGGCTCCACCGTAGCCAGAATCTTTTCAATGTTGCTCATACCGAACATATGCTGCGCATTTACAAACTCTACAAACCTGCTGGCCGGGAAGTATGCGGCCAACTCACAGGTTTGGGTACATTTTCTCCTTTGGTATTTGCAGGCAGCACAAGCTTTAGAATTTGCCATGAGTTCTTTGCTGAGGAAGAGATGAGGGTAGGGATTAAGAAATGCAATTAAACAAATGCTGTATGTATATACGTGTAAATAGGGTGTATATATACAATTTTGGTTAAGGGTGTGAAAGTCAATTGGCATTAGGAAATGTGCCTCGTCTATAAAAGCATTCAACGGTTGTGTTGGAATTGAAAATCTTGGAGTGACTAGTTATGACAACTCAAATCCAAGTGGATTAATATTGGCTATCTTGGATTTTACCCTGATTACTAACAATATACGTTTTTATTCATTAGTGGGGGAGCAGAATTCAAATTATGTTCCGTTTTAAATTTTGAAAAGAAAATATTAGACCGAAAGCTAGTTGGTATTGTAAGATTTATTTTAGCCGATTTGTTATTTAATTTTATGTACATGGTTAAACAAAATTTTGGTAAAAAAATCTTAAAAGAAACCTCTAATTATGATAATAATATGTTACTATTGTTTACATGCCTATATGGTATGTAATTTGTCACTCCAAACGATTAAATATGCTACTAAATTTGTTCTTTCTCTGTTCTTGACAATGCTAGCACTACCAAATATGGTTGGTTATTTGAATTTGTTATGATTCTCCCAGTCAATGAAAATAGAATTTGCTTGTACGGTCCAAATAGGAGTGGGCAAAATACCCATGGGTTTAACCGCGGTTACCTACCAATTTAAAGTTCACAATTACGGTTATGGGTAACCGTTTAGAAGAACAAAAGGTTATGGATATAACCGTTTATCCGTGAAATTTAAATGGTCGGTTATGGGTATTACTTACGGTTATAACGGGTACTCATCGGTTATGGGTATTATCCGCGGTTATAACGGATATCCATTTACCCATTTAATTTAATATATGTAAAATTTAAAAACAAAAATTTAAAACCTTAAATTTTCAATCTCTCCGCCAGAGTCTGAAACGCTCGTCCCTGCTCATCTCTCCCTCCTCGGCGCCCTCTCTCTCATCTCCACCGCCCTCTCTCGCATATACACCGCTATCTCTCTCTCTATCTCTCTCAAGATTCTTACCTCGAAAAGTGTCTCCGTACGTTCCCCTCCTCTCTCTCTCTCGGTTTCTCTTTGGTTTTAGTTTCCATATATTTCTTGCATTTTCTTAGAAACCAAACAGGGCATCAAATTTTATTTTTCTTTTTAACTCTTATTCGGTTCTGGGTTTTAATTGCTCATTATTTCAAGTTTCATGAATTGGGTTTCTCCAAGAATTGCAATATTTTTATGAATTTTTGTGCTTTAGCAATTGCTGAAGCTTGAATTTCTATATAATTGATTACGTGTTAAAGAATAATCATACTCTTTTTTTTTTTGGTCAATGGAGAAAAAAGGTCGATATGATTTTTAGATGTTCAATTTATGCTGGGCAGCCTTCTAACTTTGTATTTTATAGGATTAAGTGTTTTCTATGGTTGATGAGCTAAATTGTCGAAAAAATGGGTCTTCGTTAATGTTGTGAAAGAAAATGCAGTGTGTGACTATGATGTTTAGTCGTTTATCAAGCCTTCGAAATTCCCGAATTTTGTAATTTTCAAGTTGTTAAAAAAAAAAACCTTGTAAATAGGTGAAAAAGGGGTAAATGAGTAAAAAAATGATAAACGGGTTCAAAAACAGATAAATAGGTAAATGGTTATAGTTAAATGGGTAAACAGTTATGATTAAATGGGTACACAGTTATGAGTATGGTTAACCATTTATAAACGGTTATGGGTATGGGTATAACCGTTTATGCAATTACCCAACGGTTAAACGGTTATGTGGGTAATATGAATAGTTATGAGTAAATAACCGCGTTTACCCGTCCACCATAACCATTACCCTTCCCTAGGTTCAAATTCGATGTTAACTTATGTCGCATGCACTTTCCTTAAATATCTAATTGTACTTATCTTCTAAACATTAAAAGATGTAAGTTTCCAAAAAAAAAAAAAAAAACATTAAAAGATGTAATAAGTTCGAGTCCTCGTTCTCAAAGCCTAAAAGAATAAAAATTCCAAAATTCAAAATGAGGTTAAATATAGATAATTATCTAACCTTTTGGGGTGATTTCAAATGAGCCTTAACCTTTTAAAACATTTTAAATAACTACCTAACGTTTTGAAAATTAGACATCTGTTAGATCACCGACGAAACGATAAGTGATGGCAGTAAGAGATGATGTTTCAGCATTGAATGATGAGGTGGACAAATACTAAAATTAGTCTCTACTAATTGTCGTATTTGGAGCTCTAATTCCCCAATATAAGTTTTCTTCACTAACTGGAAGTGAGATTAAAATTATGATCCTATTTGAATTTTGAAAAGAAAACACTGGACTGAAAGGAAATTGGTATTCAAAATTTACTTCAGCGGATTCGTTGTTTAATTTCATATATAGTTAAACAAAAGTTGGTAAGTAAAAGACCAAATTTCTTTTGTGGTCCCTGTAATGACAATGCAATGAAACCCTCGTTCTGAAAAAAGTTGTTAACAGAGGGCAAACAATACTTTGATTTGTCCGCGGTAGGTTCCATTGAAGAAAGGATTAAAATCTTGGGGTAAACTTCGTTAGCAATTGCGATCCAAACCTAAACTTCGTTAATCTTCCATTAAAACAAATACATAAATCTCACATGTGAGGTTAAAATCGACCATTTAATTAAACTAAGATGGCGAGAACATTTGATGTGGTGATGTTTGCTTGTTCGTTGCCTACAGAATTACTTGGAGGCTAAGTCCTCTACACCAAGCCAGTTGAAGATTTGACTATAAAGACAATGAGGACGCAAAAAGTGTGGGAACGATGGTGATTTGCTCTTGGAAGAGTACAATGAAATTATGATCTATGATGTTACTAAATTAATTATGATAAAATGTGGAATAATTATTTATTTGTGGACTATCAAGTTTGTAACCTGATGAGCTATAGTTGTGATATATCGAATTTGACTTGATTTTCTACCGTCGAAAAGCTATTGGTGACCATTGTTGCCTAAAAAATTGCTAAAAATCAAGTTAACTTATCCACGTGAGACACATTCTATGTGTGTGTTTTTTTTTAATGGAAACCTAAAGAAGGTTTAGATTTGAACTTCAATTGTGACAGACTCGTCACAGGAGCTTAATTAACAATTTTATTTTTACCACGAGGCTCATATTAAAAATATAGTATCACCATAGGGACCACAAAAAAATTTAGAAAAACAAAACAAAAAAGAAGCTTCAAATGATGACAATAATATGTTACATGGTTTGCATGCCCTACATGGTATATAATTTGTCACTTCAAACAATTACATATGCTAGTAAAATTGTTCTTTTCATTCTTGTTTGGGAATTTCTACCCTTTCTAGTATTACCAACAATATTTGGGTACTTTCCATTAAAAAAAAAAAGGTAAAAGACTGTTTACTACCCTCATGTTTCGTGGTTTTCAACATTTAGTACATCAAATTTTTTTCGTCTCAGATTCATACCTAAAGTGTAAATTTTGGGACAGTCTCATACATCCGTTAGTCAAACTGTTAAGTCTCCTATTAACTGAAGTGGCGCACTGACTGGACGCCACGTGTCATCCACGTTTTTTGTTTTGTTTTGTTTTGTTTTGTTTTCTTCTTTTACCCAAAAAAAAAATATTTGGGTACTTTGAAATTATTATGATTCTACCAGTAAATAAAAGCATAACTGGTTTTAGAGTCAAAATTTGATGTTCTCTTATCTGGTGCGCGTTTTTCTTGAATGCCTAGTTATGCTTATGTGCATTGAAAATTATGTCAACTTCAAATCTTCATTTCCGCCCTTGAAAAAAAAAAGTAAAAACTTCAAAATTTAAAAGGAAAACCGCTATTGGCATTACAAATTTTTTATATTTAAAAAGAAAAATACACTTATTACAACTGCATAGTGAGATTTTTTTGGAGTGGCAATATCAATACTCATTAAAATATTTCTAACTTATTTCAAATATGTGGGTTTACTGGGCCCAAGAAACTTAGAAACTCATAACAGAATGGGCCCCAATCAATAAGACCAACCGTTTTTAGACCAACATCTGACACCTGTAATCCAACAATCCCTATAATCTCATCGTCATCATGCAGCTGCAATACAACGTCATCAGTTCACCAATTTGTGTAACCTAAACGCAGCGTTTTGACTTTCCCAATTACAGAGCGAGGGTTAGAGAGAGAGGGGAGCTTGAGGCTGAGCTCTGATGGCGGGGAAGCCCCAACCGGTTCGCGTACTGTACTGCGCGGTGTGCAGTTTGCCTGCAGAGTACTGTGAATTCGGACCCGATTTCGAGAAATGCAAGCCATGGTTGATCCAAAACGCCCCGGACCTTTACCCGGATCTCGTTAAAGGTTCAATCTTTCTCCCGAACCCTAATTTATTTTTAATCAAGTTTAATTTTGTATGATTACTCTGTTTTGTTATATTTATTTGTTATCTTAACGAAAAAGTTTAAATTGTTTGTATTAATTTTATTTGTGCAGAGGCTAATGCTAAGGAAATTGATAAAGTAGCCAACCAGTTGCAGTCCACTGGTATTTCTTCTGGAGGTGGTGATGGAGCTGCTTCTTCAGGTAATACTATAAATATGTATATGTTGTGTGTGTGTGTGTGTGTGAATGTATTTATTTGAACATTGTTACTTTTTCTGGTCTGGATTGGAGGAATTATGAGTGTGGATACAGAGCATATGGAATGCATAAACATGTGTTGTTGTTGTGTGTTTGTTTGTGCTGCTATGAGATGAAATGGGATGTTAATTGTGTTATTTTTTTCGGCTTTAATTTTATTTGGAAAGATTGTTTTCCGCTTTGCGAATTCAAATTGTAACGACTTTCTTCACTCCCCGCCCCCTGTATTTGGCTTGACGGTGGCACTCCAGCACCTAAAGAAGAAGTCAAGCGTCTTCCAGGCGGGAAGATTAAGAAGAAGGTGAGACTTTTGAAAGTGTTCTTGTCTATCCAATAGGTGTAACCCTTTGCAAACAAGCTCTCTAGGTGAACTAGTTGCATAACAATATTTGTTTTGAGAACCTTTAGAGTAAAATTACTAAACTTGGTATTGGGTTTTGCTTTAGGATAAGCAAGAAGTTACGATTGAAAAGGTTACACGTAATAAGCGAAAATGTATCACCACTGTGAAAGGACTGGAGCTTTTTGGTGAGCGATCTGCTGCTTTACATCCTTTGTCTTTCTATTTGGATATCCTTATTTTGTTCCTACCATAATTAACTTGGTTTCTTTGATTACAATTCAGGTGTCAAACTTAGTGACGCTTCAAAGAAATTGGGTAAAAAGTTTGCTACAGGAGCCTCTGTTGTTAAGGTATGATAAATATTAAGAAATGGTTTTTGAAATCTGGTCTGTCATCTGCTATTATGGTTTGTTATAATTAATTTGAATGGTTGGTTGCAGGGCCAACTGAGAAGGACCAAATTGATGTTCAAGGAGATATAGCCTATGACATTGTGGAGTTCATTACGGATACTTGGCCTGATGTAAGCTACTTCACTTACTGTTTCTCTTTGTTTTCACCTTTTGTTCAAAACAGAAGTTCTTAGTTCCAGTAAAAGCATTAACCTCTTTAACGCTTTGAATATGAATGAATTAGGCCAAAGAGGAGTTACTATATTGTATGAATGAGGATCGCAATATATGGTATAAATTGAAATGTTATCTGAGGAAGAAGAATTGAAATGTGGTGAGGAAGTTGTGAAATTAAAAACTAAATATTAGTACATATAAACAGTTAGCCAAATTTTGGCTTTGGGACGTATGTACCATGTAGTGTCAAATTTTTATGTCGTCATTTTGATTTTAACACTTCATGTCCTTGGGTGATTGCATGGGGTAGCACCATGCTTAGGAATTTTTTTTAGTGAATCCTTCTAAAAGTCAGGGCATCAAGGATTATCCTTTTATGCTTGTTTTTCTTCTTCTTTCTATTTTTGTACAAGGGGAGGTATTTAATATGCCATAGAAGGCCGAAGGCCTTTGCTTTAACCTTCAAATCTTCAAATATGTTCATGTAGAGATCCATGTTCAACCTGAATAGAAAATCTTAATATCAACTTTGGTCTGATTTTTCGTTTCATTTTTCTTTCTATTTAATGGTAATTTTTCAGTTTCAATTGTTTTGCAGAATAGTCAAATGGTAAGGCTGGGTTGTATTTAGCATCACCAAAAACTTAAATGAATGTTGAAACTGGAGTGTTAACGCCTGTGAAGACGTATTCTTAATTTTGATTGGCATGAATTGAACGTGTACTTTAATTTATACCGAAAAGCCAAAAGCATACATGTATCTGAAGAGACCATATGAGATGATTTTGCATTATTGCCCCCTTGTCCCCCTTTTTAGCCATGTTTTGGTAATCTTGTGTTTTCGACTTTATACGTGCTTAGTTTAAAGTATCCAAAACTTTTGTTTTCCTCCTTTCTCAGGTCCCAGAAGCTGCAATTTTCTTTATTGAAGATGGCAGGAAGGTCCCTGCTGCTTGAACAGTATCTGCGGCACACAAATAAGACGGAGTGCTATCAAAGTAAAGGACCAGTGAACATACTCCTTAAAGTAAAGGACCAGTGAACATACTCCTTAAAGTTCCAAGAGTCCGATTGCCAGTGAGATGTTTGCCCCTCGAGTCACTAGTTATCTTGGTTGCAAGAATATTACATTTTTTGCAGTTAAATTGTATTTCGAGATCTGTATTTTGCTTTGTAGGGGTAATGGTATATGCTACTTGCTCTGTTCTTGTGTGTCTCACATATTACCTAAGGTTGATCCTCATGTTGCAGACCTAGCTGCTGCTTCCTGCAATCTTTAAGCTTCCGTGAGTTAACAAATAAAAAACATATTCAAAATTTTGGTTTACATTTTATCTTCTAGCAGTGAATTTGCAATTTTTCTTCAATGCTACTATGTAGGCCGGAGTGAAACAGAAAATTAATGGTTGATATTGAAAATAAAAGATCTAACAATTGTGGAAATCAAAGTTATCGGCTAAAACACATGTAGCGCTAAGTGCTACTTATGATTGAAACCAAGCCCGTGAATTTTCCAAGACCTTGAAGGCCCTTCTAGATGTACACCAGCAATATTGCGCAAAGGGGAAATCAACTGAGGACCCCTAGAATGCAAATGATAAATGTTATTAACCAACTGAGTTGTAGCCCATAACCTCTTGCCCTCTTGCCTCGAGACCTTTTCAGCCTACACGGTGTGCAAACTTTTTAGATCGAAAACCTTAATGATGCAGTCAACTGTGTTCCCCAAGCAGGAAATCCTTGTCTTTGCCAGCCTAAATCTGGTTGTCAGGCCGTTTTATACTCCATGTCTTTTTGGGTTAAATGTTTCATCAAACATTATTATAAACAAACAATATTATAACCATGTCAAAGATTGCAATTGTCACCGGCCAAAGAGAAGCGTACTAAAATTGGATTTGTTGGCGGTTTAAGCATAGTGAAGAAGGGTTTAAACGGAGTAAAATTTTTCGTGTCCCAAATGTGGATTAATATAATATAAACCCACTTGCATCTTTCATTCCAAAAAAACAAAATTAAAAAAGGTTGAAGTGAATGTTGTATAACCATTTCATCTTTAATTTTTCGTTTTCAGTTTTTGCTCTATAGATTGAGGAAAAGTATAAGGGATAAAAAAAGAAGAAGACGAAGAAGAGAGAGAGGGTGGCGGGAGAGAGAAGAATAAGGAAAAAAGTAAAAAACAAAAACACGAAAACAAAAAAAACTTAGTAGCCATTTCAGTTTTTTTACTGAAAATATCTTGTTTGGTAACATATGGAAACAAAATAAAACATGAAAACAAAATGATTATCAAACGGCCCCTTAATATCTCATATTTAAGATTTCATATACATTTATTTCAAATCCCTCTTACCATCTTTCTTTCCACCTCTTCTTCACAACTCACTTCTCTCATGTATTTTCGCCTCTATCCTTAACAAAAAATAAAAAAATTAAAACTAAAAACTAAAAACGAAATAATTATCAAATGAGCCAAAAATTGATTTAAAAACTTCCAATAAGAACTAAATAATTATAAACACCCAGATCAAACAAAAGATGTAATAAAGTGGGAAAAGGATATACACAAAGAACATATTATTTTGAGTCCCTTTTTATTATCAGATGAAAAAAGCAAAGAAATATGAGGAAATAAAAAATGTTGCAACCATGCTTATAATCATGAGAATCCATGATCCGTCGATGTATCTGCATACTTGTAAAAGAATGTTTGTACAGACCATCCTTAGCAATTTGAAAATTAATTTATCATATAACACAAGTAATTAACTCAATTTTCGTATCTATTCAACCGACAATTTGTAGAAAATAGATAAGTTAAATTTAAGATATTCAAGGTCTTATATAATCTTTGCTTAAGTTTGCAAAGAGTGTTTACTGATTTGATGAAGTCGTCTTCTTCTTGCGTACATTTGGAAAAGCCTATACATATACAACTTGGCCGGCCACTAAACGACGTTAATTAACGCCAGTCCATGTTCTACTATCCCACATTAATAAATTTGTTTAAGTAATTTCTCCTCTATATATAATGCAACTTAATTTACTCCTACATATCAACACACTTCTCTTCTCCTCTAATTTCACCACTAAAAAAAAAAAATGGCTGAGAATTTTGCAGTTTCAAAATACTTGACAACCATGAGTTTAACCTAGGGTTTATGGTGTTATTCACAACCGGGACAAGTGTACTCCTACCCGCACTCGGGGATATCTCTGGCTTCCTTCGAAATGATACCGAATCCATCAATTCAACCTCAACCGATTATGGCCATATAGTTTATCAATACGCATCTGCAGTTCTTAATCCAGCGTCGCCAAATGACATCGCAAGTTTAATCCTATCCGCAAACAACAATTCTGCGCCTTTCAGTGTAGCTGCTAGAGGCCAGGGCCATTCTGTTCGTGGACAGGCCCTGACCTCTGATGGCGTTGTCATAAACATGACAGCTTTGATCAGTAATGGGTCTAGAATTGTAGTCTTTGAGAGCCCTTCTTTGGGTTCTTATGCTGATGTTGGAGGTGAGCAGCGTTGGATCGATGTGTTGCGTGCTACACTCGACCGTGGTCTTACTCCAGTTTCATGGACTGACTACCTCTACCTCAGCGTTGGTGGCACGCTCAGTAACGCCGGAATCAGTGGGCAAACGTTTCGTTATGGACCTCAAATCAACAATGTCTATGAACTTGATGTTGTTACAGGTACGAGGACTCTCTTACAGCTCAGTACTACTCTATCATATTGTGTTATCTCATTGACCATCTTTCCATTTTCTTTCTGTCCTTATCTTTATTACACATTCTAGTTCTATATGTATTCAATGCATTTGAAATATTTATCTGGCTCTTTCACTTAAAAGTCCTAACAACTACGTTTGCATTGTATTGCATGCATATTCACTGGAAATGAATGCACCTCAGCAAGCGTTGCAAAATATTGGACCACACTCATTAACTTCCAAATTTATTAATAGGGTTTGTTCTCAGTAGTTGGCACTCCCAAAATGTTATTTTTCATTCTTTGTATATAAATTTTTTTTCTTGTATTTTTATAAATTTAGAGTACAGAATGACATTTTCAGAGTGCCAACAATTATTATATATGTGTGTGAAAACTACCGAACTTTCTCAAATCTTTCAAACCAAGCTCATGGTCTGGTAATGAAAGTGAGAACTTGAACTTATTCTTGATTATTTAGATTGGCTTTAAAGTATGAATATATATATGGTTTTTTAGCCAAAATAGTTCTTGCGATTTGCCTAACTCCTCACTTTGGTTCCTGAGATTTTAAATCAATAGAATTGGTCTCTGAGTTTGTCCATATCAATCATTTTGGTCATTCCGTGAAAAATCTTCATTAAATAAGAATACAATGACCAAAATACCCTTAATTTTTGTCAAAATATTTTGGCCCATTCTTTATTAAATTGAGGGTATATTTGTCATTTTGATCTTTATGTAACATAAATTACATAATTTTGCACATAATGACTAAAATTATTAATGGTGGACAATCTTATGGACCACTTCTATTGATTTCAAATATCAAGGACCAAAGTGATGTGTTATGCACTCTTAGAGACCATTTTGGTTAAAAAACCTATATATTTTTAGTAGAGCAATATATCATTAGTGGGTTGGATAGTTAATTGGGAAAGAGAAAAGTGGGCGCGTAAACATGATGCCATTGTGTTAAAGCGCCATTTTCTTAAAGTGTGGATATGGAACAAGAATGAAGTTTACATATTCATTTAAAGTATTCCACCAAGTCAATTGGTGCTTTAAAATATTTATATGTGTCGATATATGATTGCATTGTTACCAAAGTGATATTCTATAAGTAGGTGCTTTATCGCAGTGGGAAAAAGTTATAATTTTATGCATTCTGTTGCAAGTTTGATCCCCATCAATCTCTCCCCTCAAACATTTAACGCTTCATACCGCTATTGTTTGTAAAAAAAATTACCTTATATAAAACTAAACTAAATTTCATTAAGGGTAACGCTTGCATGTAAACATTAGCCCCTCACACATAAATTTAATTGGTTGTTTATCAGGCACTTATGTATTTTATTTTATTTTATTCAGGGAAAGGGGAATTAGTTACATGCTCCTCAAACAAGGTGCCAGGGCTATTTTATGCTGTTCTCGGAGGCTTGGGCCAATTTGGTATAATAACCAGAGCAAGGATTCCCCTAGAGCCAGCTCCGAACAGGGTATGAACAAAAATATACCTCTGCTCCTCAGAGTACAATATCGTTGTAACAAAATATATACTCTTTTTTCCTTGACTATGATTTGAATTAAATAAGTTCTACACTAATTCTCTGCAGGCTAAATGGGTTCGAATGATGTACAGAAACTTCTCTGCATTTTCAAAAGATCAAGAACGTTTAATGGCAAACAACGGATTCGATTATTTAGAAGGTTTCCTTCTAATGAAGCAGGGTCCTCTAGACCTTTCCTTTTACCCATTACTCGATCAACCAAGAATAACAGCTTTAATAAATCAATACGGCATCATCTACTACATAGAAGCAGCTAAATATTATGGTGATAGCACTCGACCAACAGTGGACAAGGTACACCATTTTTCTACTATTTTTTTATATTTATTATATGACTAATATTTAAGGTAATTAAGAGAGTTAGTACCATTTAAATTACTTTTCCTTGTATATATAGGTAGTTGAAAAATGGGTGCTTTAGATTTAGCCCCTTACAATTGTTGAACTCTAGATATAAACCCACCTATATTAAAACATCTAAATAAAACCCAAATTTTGAATTTAATGTCAGGTAAGATAAAAGATGTCCATACATTTAAATTTATTTACAACACCATGCCACCAACATTAATATGGCTATTACGGTTTTTTTTGTAGACTTTTAATTATTATCTTTTGTTTGTCAACAAAATTCAATTAGTTTAAGTTTTTTTTGCTTTTAATTAAAAAAAAAAAGAAGAGAAGAAGTTCTTTTCTTCTTTTATGTGAAATCGCCTAATCCAAATCTAATTAGGTCAATATACATTCTATTGAAAAAGTAGATACATTAACTTGTGAAAATTAAAACAAAAATAGGTAAAAATAAACTAGTAAACGCATTGTTTCTTGTATAAATTAAATAATAGGTACTTTATTTTTGGAAGAAAAAAAAAACTAGTAGAAACATTGTTTCTTTTAAAACTTAAACAATGAATTTATAAGGTAAATTAGTTTGCATGTATTTGCATATATGGGTTTGTTATTATGTAGGTACATTATTTTTCATGTATTTTACATATACTAGGTATATTATTTTTCTTTTTTTTTAAGCAATCTAACA